AGCCTTTTGAGTTTCTTTAAAGTGTCTTGGTTTATAAAGAAAATCTCGTTTTTTAAGCATTTTTAGTTTATTTATTAACAAGATAGATCTTGCACAGTCAGAAAAACTTCGCAGTAAATATCCATACATGCATCATGTGTTTACTTGATTGAGCCCCAAACCACGGACTAAGCCGCTCCAGCCTCTCGACCTGACATGGGCAAACAGGCTATGTCAGACTTCCGTGAAATACACCGGGAAAACCACCTATTTGTAGCCGCTCACAGAGCCCCAAACCACGGACTAAGCAGCTCCAGCCTCTCGACCTGACATGGGCAAACAGGCTATGTCAGACTTCCGTGAAATACACCGGGAAAACCACCTATTTGTAGCCGCTCACAGAGCCCCAAACCACGGACTAAGCCGCTCCAGCATCTCGACCTGACATGGGCAAACAGGCTGTCAGGTGCTGATGGTAAGCAGGCGGCAATACATTGATTGTTTTACCCAGGAAGAAGTGTTTAAATAGCGGTAAAAGTGATTTAAATACATGTCTATTACACATACTTTAATGCACAAAAGTATGTCCATGCAGTGTACACATCGTTACCCAGCCTTGCATCATCATTTTGCAGGTACGATGTGTACACTGGGTCATTCAGAATGTGCTATTTAAGCAATCATACACGAGAGGCCGTTCTTTAGAACAGGCGTACGGACCTCGGCGCAAGCGCCTCGCTCCTGCCGCAGTACTGTCGTACCAATAATGACGTTACAGAACGGCCTCAAGTGTATGATTGCGATTCTATAACACAAACTATCATTGTAATCAACAATATCGTAAAATAATTTCATAATGTGGGCTAATTTGCTCCCAAACCTTCACTTTCTGCTTGAGTTAATCTCCGTCAGAAAGTAGTTCCTATAAAGTAGTTCCCTGGTAACGAGAGCCGATCAATCGAACACTCCTGCTTCCCCGCTTACAGTTATTGATATAATTATAGTAAATAATATATTATTAACCAATTTATTGAAAACAATTTATTGAAAACAATTCTTGAATTAGGCTATGTATTTATTTATTTACATATTTAACATTTTGGCTTCAGAATGAAGGTGGATGTTCATGCTGCCATTACACGTGCAATCTTTGAAACAACTCATGAACTCCATGCCAGACTTTTGTGCAGTTGGTGCTGTGGTGTTCACGGAAGAGCTTTCCTCCAGTGGCCGTTTGGCGTGTCCCGGACCGGCAAAAAGCGCGTTGCTCCACATTTGTCTGTTGTCCAGATGATAACTATAAAATCTGACATTTTGTAGCTAACGATTTTCCAACGAGAGACAATGTAACGGCTGTGTGTCGCTATGGAAACCACTACTTCTCCGCTGCTTTCTTGTTCCAGTTAGCTTTTGAATTGTGGTACTTTTCCAGTTGGTCTACCTGCTCTTCACGTAGCTCTGCATGTTGTCGTTTAGGTGCTTTTTTTTTTTCTAGGCATTCCTCAATCCAGTCCTCCACAGTAAGACCCCCCCGGAGGTTGAAGTTGATCTTAAATGTTTCCATATTATGTTTGGAAGTTTGTTTCGTAACGTAAAAAGGAGGGTTTCTGCCCCGTTACTTCTCCGCTGCTTTCTTGTTTGCTTTTCGGGCCAAGGGTATACTGTTTTTCTCAGACGCGGAGGGATACTGACTTGTTGTGAAAAGGCACGTTCTATTTGACCGTTCTTTGGTCGTGGAATCAAACACGCCTATTGACCAATCAGAGAGCTTGCTCACACCTATGTGTTATATAATTCTGAATAAATAGCACATTCTGAACATATGTCAAACAGAGATTCCTATTAAAAGTGATCAATTAATAGCAAGATTTGACATGCGGGCAAACAGGCTATTTCACGGGACACAGGCTATGTCAGACTTCTATGAAATACATCGGGAAAACCACGTATTTGTAGCCGCTCAAAGAGCCCCAAACCACGGACTAAGCAGCTCCAGCATCTCTCCCTGACATGCGTACTTCCATAACCTCGCGCACCTTGGGACCCCGGGCCCCCGAACTTAAGCACTCCCCCACGGACTAAACCCAGATGATCACACCCTCAAGAACTTCGTGCCCCTGGGAACCTTAAAGGGGGGGGGATTTTGCGGTGCTTTATCGTCCGCCCATCGGCATCCATATTCGGCCTTCTTCACAGCACCACCTGCCCTGCTGGAGGTTCACACTTTAACTTTTTTTACCCTCCTCTGCCTTACACATCCTCCCACACTTGAGCACTCCTCACTCGGACTAAACCCCTCCATGCACACCTAGACTGCACCCAGAGAACAGGCTGCTTCACAGCACTTTGCAAGCCAGGAAAAGTGATTGAATCCTGGGTATACATGTTTTAAATAGTATGATACCTCCAGGGCGCATCACCACATTTTACAAGCCAGGGGAAGGTGCCTGAATCCTGGGTAAACATTGTTTAATTGTTTACATGGCTTTTTACCCAGGCATGAGGGTGTGAAAGCTGGGTAAAAGTGCTGTGAATACAGGGAGGGAGAGAGAGCAGCAGCAGCAGGCTGTGACCCAGAGAGCTCCTTCCAGCACCTCTCCCACCACCCAGAGGACAGGCTGCTTCACAGCACTATGGAACCCAGGAGAGAAGCTTGAAACCTGTCCATTTCATCCACATTTGACTCATGAAATGTACAGGAATCTGTCCATTTCATCCACATTTCACTCATGAAATGTACAGCAGAGTCACTGCTGTAAGCAGGGGCACACAGGCAGAGATCCAGGGTGATGCACATGGCTTTCTTACCCAGGAATGAGTGTGTGAAAACTGGGTAAAAGTGCTGTGAATACAGGGAGGGAGAGAGAGCAGCAGCAGCAGGCTGTGACCCAGAGAGCTCCTTCCAGCACCTCGCTCAATCCCACCCAGAGGACAGGCTGAGTCACTGGTCCCACACTCACAGGCAGAGATCCAGGGTGATGTACATGGGTCAGAAAAAGTCCAAGTTAACTTTTGGAAGAACCAGAAAAAAGGGGTGAAAATGGATAAATTGTACCCCAAAATAGTGTCTCTTAAGACGGGTAGAGTCCCCCGACAACTCCCGTTACATTCCTCCAGAGTCAGAAAAAGTCTAAGTTAACTTTTGGAAGAACCAGAAAAAAGGGGTGAAAATGGATAAATTGTACCCCAAAATAGTGTCTCTTAAGGCGGGTAAAAGTTATGTGAATATGGGGTGACGTATATGGACACTTGAGCACCAGCAAGACCCCCACCTCCATAACCTTGTGCACCAGGCGAACCTGCGTACCCACACTTAAGCACTCCCCCGCGGACTAAACCAAGAGGGAACACCGGTCAGAAGTTCGTGCCCCTGGTAACACTGAATAAAAAAAAGAATGGGGGCATGCCATTAAAACTGCTATGCTTTGAGGATTTTAGTCCGAGATGAGTGCTTATCTGCGGGTATCTTGTGTCAGCTTCGTGGACCCCAATTTAAAAGGAAATGTCCATGATATTGACAAACATATTTATATACAGAATGATGATTATTTTACCCTCAGACACATGCATAGAGCACCCCCGAGTCTTGAATGTGTGTAGGCACAGTTGGTCAAATGTGTCCTGCCGCTGGCAGGGACTTTGCATCGGAAGTTGACATCACATTTCCATTGTGCGGACAAGTGTACATTTGAAGGACAAGTCCCACGTTAACTCTGTCCATAAGGCAGACATTTTCCTTACAGTTCTTTGCATCTCCATCAAGTCAAACCAAACTGCAGACAGAGGAGGAACTCAGAGATCTGGGTTTCCACATCGAAGTGTCCGGCTCCTGCACAGTTATTCGCCACATCCTGAGAGGAACGTCTTTCTTTGTGGGGACTGTTTTCACCAACGCACCTGCTCACAGTGCTGCTATCGCAAGACTACAAGGACTTTAGAATGTACTCTCTGATGAGGGATAGGCTTTTTTTTTTTAATATTGCACAGATCTCCCAAAAAACGCCTCTATTTATGTTTGACGAAGCTAGGAACTTGATATAGTGTTGGCACGGTGGGCGTTTGTTTTACTGTAACGAGGACTGAGACCTTAACGTTGAAGAGGTCAACCTGACTTACCTTGCACTAAATCCTGGGAGAAACACACACTCAGTGCAGGGGGAAGAGTTCTTACTACCAATAAAAGGCTTTTCAACATGTTATATCTGCCGTTTGATACGTTTGTAGACAATATTAACACTTGAGAGGATGACGACACTTGTGTTTTTTGATAATACAACCATGGACTGAACTGGAAACACACCGTTTCATATTTATGGTGCAGTGTTTTCAATGTTTCTCTAACCTGATCTGAAGTTGAAGCACTGTGACAGTCTGAGACAATAAAGTGACTTTTCATCCGGTTATTTGGACACTTCCTGTAGCTGTGAAGGTGTTCTCTTTACTCGGTGAATAATGAAGATACTGTCAGGCATTTCATTTAGCAATTTGATCGTCACAAAGCTACAAAGGTTTGCAGAAGTGTTTGGTTATTGTCGCCCTCTAGTAGTAAATGAGATTTACTGCAGAAAGGCTCCTTAAACTTCAACTTGACTCATTTCTAATAATGAGAGCGCTCTCTTGACTCCTGTTCTACCTCTGATGATAAGTACATGACAAAGCAGATATCTATTTATTGTAATTTTATTAAATGAACGCGGGGAAACCGGAGAACCCCGGAGGAAACCCGAGCATGCAATACAAACATTTAAAAGAAAGAAAATACATAGTGTTGCAGAAAAAACAATATAAAATGGCATTTAAAAACCATAATGAAAAAGCAAAGATAATACAATAAACATAAAAAAATATATGATAAAAGTTACAGTAAAATAAAAAGTCTTCAGCTTAGAGGATAAAAACTAAAAAAGACATCAATCAATTTAAAACAAACCCAGACTTGTTTGAAAAAGTAGAACAAAGATTAAAATGGAAAATGTGATGCATGTGTTGATGCACGTTTTCTACGAGCTGGCGATCCAGCCTCACTTGAACACCTTCCTGAAGAACTTGGTGACGCTGTCGATCATGTGACATAAGATGCACTTCTTCTTGTTCTTCTTCTGTGGTAGGGGTGTGGATCCTACCACCCAGTCGAACTCTTCCGACATTGACGATGTGTTCATCTCACTGTCTGTGGAGAATTGCTTGACCCTCTTCTTGGTCTTCCTCTTCACGGCAGAGCTGCGAGTTTTTTCTGAACACTTCCACAGATTTTTGTTCAATGCCGTGGACACGGCTTTCTCAAAAATGGCCCTTTTGTATCTAACGGCACTCTGAATCTCCTCCGCAGATCCAAACTGCTCGACGAGGTCTTTGTAGACTGGGATGTGGAGGTTTTCACTGGTTCTCAGGAGAGTGGCAAACCGGATCGTATCCGTCTTCATTCTCAGGCGCTCCACCATCCCCACGAAGTCAGTGTGGTAAATTGGCTGGTTTGGGGGTGCAATGTGATCTAGTAGCTTGACTAGAAACACAGTGAGACAGGTCCTGTGTTGCTTTATCAGCAACTCTTCTTCAGAGCAGAAATCCTCCTTTTCATCTTGGTACCTTTCGTCGTATCGTTGCTGTGTGCCTCCGTCTGAAGTCTCTGTTGAAGAGTAATCGGCCTTCTTTTTGCCCTTTTTGGCCTTTTTGGCCTTTCTGAGGACTTTTCTGCGTTGTTGTGGCAACTCCTCGTTATAACTATTAGACGTTTCATTGACTAAACTGGAAGAAAGACTCGTACATTCACTTCCTAACCCTTCTTCTGATTTTAGTGGCTCTCCAAAACTATCAGATGCTTTAAAGACCAAACTGGAAAAAAGACTCACTTCTGATTTCTTTCCAGAAATGTCATAGTACTGAATAAACTCTAGCGGTGAGATGTTGACTGATGAATAGTGCATTGCTTTTCTTTCCAGTTTCTCTGCTGATTTTTGTGGCAGATTCTCTCGTTCAATCGAAGAGTAATTTTCGCCTTCACTTGCGAGGAATTCTAAAGTTGCATTGATGATTCTCCCGTTTTCTTCCTTTTGCTCTGCACTTGTTTTTGGCAGCTTCTCTGGTTTCATGGAAGCCTCATTTTCACTGGGGAAGAATTCTGCAGCAGTTTCCAAATAGAGTCGTTGTTCTTCCTCTTCCTTTGCACTTCTTTTTGGCGGACTCTCTGGTTTCACGGAAGCCTCATTTTCCCTTTCACTTGCGAGGAAATCTAAAACGATTTTGAGTTCTTCGTCGTCTTCTGCTTCTTCCTCTAAACTTTTTTGTGGCAGATTCTCTGGTTTCACGGAAGCCTCATTTTCCCTTTCACTTGCGAGGAAATCTAAAACGATTTTGAGTTCTTCGTCGTCTTCTGCTTCTTCCTCTAAACTTTTTTGTGGCGGCTTCCCTGCCGGAGTGGCCGAACGCTCTTCAATGTCAGTTAAAGCCAGCAATTGATCTGCTGCTTCCATTATCTTTCTGATATCTGTCTCGTCATCTGAAAACGTGCAGCTTCTTCGGGAAAACTGCGGTGAGGGAAGCCCCTTATCATTTCTCATGCAAGCTCTCAAGATATGAGCGATGAGGTAAACGATATCTTCGGTTTGAGAATCGGTTGATGAAACTGACTCACTGGACGAGTTGGAAGAGGATGGCTGTGTGAGTTCTTGAAGACCACTGTTCACCCTCTTTGTTATCGATACTATGAACAAAGCCAGGAGTGCTTGAGATTGTTCGGTTTTACTCTGTGGGAGTCCTAGTGCCATACCGAAACAGCAGTCAAGACAGTTCCCAAAACTGGCCTCAACATCGTCTTCTGTCACTCTGTCATAAGTACGAGTCCTTTGCGTATAAACCCTAGGCTCGCCGAAAAAACCAAAATGGAAAGAGTTAGGATTGAAAGTCTTTAAAGTAGGATTGCAGCTCACTGAAATGTAATTTAAGAGTGGCTGTGAAGCTGTTGACTTACGTTGGGAAGGAGGCTGGGATGCAGGCGTTTCTGTGGTTTTCCTCCTCCACCCAGTCCATCCACTTATTAACCTGAGGTAAAGTAACTTCCAAGATCAGGATGGTGAGCGTATCTGTGATCTCCTGACACATTCTTGTTAGAAGAATGATCGCGTCTGAGTCCATTTTGCCATCTGATAACAACTGCCAACTCCTGTAAGAAAAAGACAAGTAATGTTTTAGCAAAACAGAGATGTTTACGCCAGGTCTGAGCTCATTTGCTTGATGACTTTAAACGTGTTACTTACACATCTGTGCAGTCATTGAGGAATGACCTGATTATGGCTTGGAATATGTCTGGTGTAAACATAGGCATATCCAAATTGCTGCACATTAGTTCTCCCATTTCGTCTGAAGGAATCTGGAAATAAAACAAATCAGGTTTTAAAAGTCATGCCAAAGAGGATGAGACTTTAACAAATGTTGTACAAGTTCAAAATGTGCCAGAATGATTTAGTAATGGTTGCAAAACTCGTAAACCATGTCTGTAGTCAATCTGAAATATTGCACAGAGAGACCAGCATTTATTGTATGCATTTCAACAACACATCCTCACTCCCAGGTCGGCCTATGTTGACGTTATGTCAAGTCCCCTGTCGGCTTTTTCCAACGCAAGGGGGGGGGCCTTAGTGTCCATTTTCAACGCAAGGGGGGGGCCCCCCCCCCTTAGCGTCCATTTTCAGCTTTCCGGGATGTCCATATGCTTCTATGGACGCTCATGGAAGCACGGCATTCGTTTGTGTCGGCTGCCCTTAAAGGCAATGTGAGCGTCCATTCTCATTGGATAACGGAGAATTGTACACCCGGAAGTAAGTATTCCCCTTACTGTCGATTGATTTTACAGTGATATCTGCACTACTCATCGACTAGAAAACACCAGATTATCCTTGTTAATTACACAACATTGATTGGTTTAAATTGTGTGCAATGCTTTTGTATTTTTCCCCTTCGATTCGGAGAAACAAATGTTTTTTCGGAGTAAAGGATGGCAGAAGACACTACACTACCCAGAATCCCCAGCTATCGTTTGGACTACACCATGTGCTCTGTTTGACAAACCCCGTGATAGTCCTCAAGCTCTGTGATTGGAGAGTGTGCTCCGAGGGTTACGCCGAGCCTCGAACAGCACTTGAAATGGGATGGAACCACATCAGACTGTCCAAAACTGGATTTGAACGGGTCCACCGCGTCCCCCCCTCCCCCACCCCGTCCCCCCCTCCCCCACCCCGTCCCCAGAACTACAAATGCTGGCTATTCTGTTTCGCAACATGTTCTGTATCTATGGCACGTCTCTACTGGGAGTTGTAGTTTTAAAAGACGTTTTCGTATTTCCCATAATAAGAAGTTGCCAGTATTGAACTGTGTACATCCCTGGAGGTTTAGGGGATAGGAAACACTCACATTTAAAACATATAATTAATAAATGGGTGAAAATGGCTTGTGCCCATAATGGGCAGCATTAATATATATACACACATGCCAGCTAAGGTCAGAAGAGCTTTATTTAACAGCTGGTCTTATGTTTGTGACCCCTGTTGTTAATTGATAACATTACATTACATTAATTGATAAGCCTGAAACATGCACTTGTTAAGGTTCAGAGGCACATTTTGAAAATATGGCAGTAGCCATCGATCAGCTTAAGATAAGATATACTTTATTGATCTCAAGTTGGAACATTTGCGTTACATCAGCATGTGTAACAGTTAAATATGCAGTGGTGTTTATTTGTAAATCATTTAGTATAATCACACAAATTCTGTGTTTCATATTCAACAATTCTGTGTTCTTTATTTATTGATTGTTCAATACCTGACAAGGTCGGAGATGAAATATCTACATACATCTTATAAGAGTATAATACATGATGTATAATATCAGTTAAAATAAGTGCTTCAACATAGTTAACATTGCTGGAGGTACGCACAAATATTGATAGATGTCTTGTAATGCACTATTGAGGAACCTGCGACCCAAGTTTTTCATTCAATGCATAACTACACCGTAGTTGTGTAGGCCTATATGATATGTCAATAAACCTTAGAAAATCTTGAAAGGGATGTGCAAAATAGTCATTATATACAGTCTTTAATTAACTATTAGTAGAGAATAACGAGTAATTAATATACTTTATAGAGATCCTATTAATATCTAATAATAAAAATAATGAAATTCAATAACGTGCTTTAACCACTAGGTGTCCCTTTATATCAGCTGTGCACCTTTATGGTGTAAATACAGCCTATCTACCAATTGGATCAAATATAAAAGTCAGCCGAATTAGTGTTGATACTGCAAGGAGACGTATTGTGTGAAAAGAAATGTAAGATGTTGTTTAATGGCTGATATATTTATGATCCACGTCACGTTTTCAGTTCCTCATGTTTGTCTAGAAGTCTTCTCATCAGGGCTCTATAAATACAGAACTACGGCAGATATGTAATATTTAATGCAGCCGAACCGTGTATTACAATGCCGTTATGTGATGACTTCCAAAGAGAAAAGCAAGCACACTCGGAATAAAGTATTATTGTATTTTTTTTAAATGTTTTCGGTCTGTTTCCGTTATTTGTTAATGACGATGTGCTGTGAGATGTGAGACTGGAATTTAAGGGCAGCCGACACAAACGAATACCGTGCTTCCATGAGCGTCCATAGAAGCATATGGACATCCCGGAAAGCTGAAAATGGACGCTAAGGGCCCCCCCCCTTGCGTTGAAAATGGACGCTAAGGCCCCCCCCCTTGCGTTGAAAATGGACGCTAAGGCCCCCCCCCTTGTGTTGGAAAAAGCCGACAGGGGACTTGACATAACGTCAACATAGGCCGACCTGGGAGTGAGGATGTGTTGATTTCAAAGGCTATTTCATCAAAAATGAAAACATGAACCTAATAAAGGAGTCACTTTTCCCCAAGATGGCCCCTTGTGTGTGAGATTCAGACTAGATTGCTTACGCTGTAGTCGGTGTTGGATTCGCTGCTTTCCATTTCAATTTCCAGTGATTGGTGATGCATTTTAAGTGCAATCTGGTAATTTCTGCAGAACTACTTCTCTCTGTGGCTCTCCTTGTGAAGGTCTGCAAATAAGTGCTCAAGTGTCTGCTTTTGGGGTCTATTTGCAAACTAAACTGATGACGTCATATGAGCCAGAATTCTAGAATGCATTGGCTTTCATGCGCGCGAGAACTGCTGCGCTCTATAACTCCTACGTCATGGAACGTCTGCAGGCGAATGTTGCCCCGCCCCCTTTTAACAAAAGCATTGAAACAATGAATAAGAAAATAATGTACTGATTAGAAAAAGACGTGAAATTAAGGGGGAAAAGCAGACGCCATCTATTTGAAGAAAGAAGCACCAAAGAAATTATTAAAAATGGATTATTATTATAAATTGATTGATTATTTATCAAAAAATTAATGAAAAGCACTTGAGAGCAAGCAATGTCATGATTGATATTAGGGCACATAAACGGGCACATATAAAGCCTTTTGAGTTTCTTTAAAGTGTCTTGGTTTATAAAGAAAATCTCGTTTTTTAAGCATTTTTAGTTTATTTATTAACAAGATAGATCTTGCACAGTCAGAAAAACTTCGCAGTAAATATCCATACATGTGTAGCCGGCGCTACTGTTTTCTGAGGATTAGCTGTCAGATCATTTCTTCACGTGGCCCCTTTAAGACACACCCCCCCCCCCCTTCTTTAGTCAGCTGGCCCTTCCATATAAGGAAAACGCGCAGCTGTAGTAGTTCAGCATCTCCCGCTACACTTTAAATGCCCACTCACTCCTCACCCAAATCAGCTGTGACTATTACGAGTGTTCCTGTTCCAGTTATTATTGTCTGGCTGATAGGTGTGTATTCCCATACGAGGTATGTGAAGCTGCTGTTAGGACTTGTAACATTCATGATGAAGAATGATGTGCTTATTGAGAGATAACATCTGTCTATATATATTTAACATGAAAAAACCAGATGCTAGTAAATATCACAAGTATTTATTAAGTGCAAAACCTCAGGACATGGACATGGACTTAGACAAACAACACAGTTATACTGTTACAACGTCCACACTAAGCATAAATAAATTAACAAAATAGTTTCAACAAGTCTGAGAAGAGGAAGGGAGCCTAACGTAAAGGGAGAACAGTTCATTTGTTGTAACTGTGAAACAAACATGAAGCTCAGGTCTAATGCTGCATGTACCAGGTTTAAAAAACATACATTAACATTTTATATTATTGATTTTCACCGTACAAAAATGTAATTTACACAAAAAGTCCTTATATGGGTCCAGTATGTCCCACAGATGCAGATTCCTCCCTCAGAGATGAGCTGCCGTGCAGATGCTGACGAGGAAGTAGCTCAGCGCTGTCGGGAGATGCTTCGTGCTCGAGCTGATCAGAGGAGAAGACGAGAAAAAGATGGCACTGCTGGCATTCCTCGGCACAAAGACGTTACAGATGTTCCCCTCACAGCAGGACGAACACATCTGAGGAGGACAATAAGCCATGAATGTGTAAAATAATCTACAACTTCTCATGTTTGAGTTCAAAGTTGAAGGTCACCTATTATGCAAAATCCACTTCTTCATGTCTCTTCTACATCAACATGTGTCCCCTCTTCTTCATGTCTCTTCTACATCAACATGTGTCCCCTCTTCTTCATGTCTCTTCTACATCAACATGTGTCCCCTCTTCTTCATGTCTCTTCTACATCAACATGTGTCTCCTCTTCTTCATGTCTCTTCTACATCAACATGTGTCCCCTCTTCTTCATGTCTCTTCTACATCAACATGTGTCCCCTCTTCTTCATGTCTCTTCTACATCAACATGTGTCCCCTCTTCTTCATGTCTCTTCTACATCAACATGTGTCCCCTCTTCTTCATGTCTCTTCTACATCAACATGTGTCCCGTCCCCTCTTCTTCATGTCTCTTCTACATCAACATGTGTCCCCTCTTCTTCATGTCTCTTCTACATCAACATGTGTCCCCTCTTCTTCATGTCTCTTCTACATCAACATGTGTCCCCTCTTCTTCATGTCTCTTCTACATCAACATGTGTCCCCTCTTCTTCATGTCTCTTCTACATCAACATGTGTCCCCTCTTCTTCATGTCTCTTCTACATCAACATGTGTCCCCTCTTCTTCATGTCTCTTCTACATCAACATGTGTCCCCTCTTCTTCATGTCTCTTCTACATCAACATGTGTCCCCTCTTCTTCATGTCTCTTCTACATCAACATGTGTCCCCTCTTCTTCATGTCTCTTCTACATCAACATGTGTCCCCTCTTCTTCATGTCTCTTCTACATCAACATGTGTCCCCTCTTCTTCATGTCTCTTCTACATCAACATGTGTCCCCTCTTCTTCATGTCTCTTCTACATCAACATGTGTCCCCTCTTCATGTCTCTACATCAAATGTGTCCCCTCTTCTTCATGTCTCTTCTACATCAACATGTGTCCCCTCTTCTTCATGTCTCTTCTACATCAACATGTGTCCCCTCTTCTTCATGTCTCTTCTACATCAACATGTGTCCCCTCTTCTTCATGTCTCTTCTACATCAACATGTGTCCCCTCTTCTTCATGTCTCTTCTACATCAACATGTGTCCCCTCTTCTTCATGTCTCTTCTACATCAACATGTGTCCCCTCTTCTTCATGTCTCTTCTACATCAACATGTGTCCCCTCTTCTTCATGTCTCTTCTACATCAACATGTGTCCCCTCTTCTTCATGTCTCTTCTACATCAACATGTGTCCCCTCTTCTTCATGTCTCTTCTACATCAACATGTGTCCCCTCTTCTTCATGTCTCTTCTACATCAACATGTGTCCCCTCTTCTTCATGTCTCTTCTACATCAACATGTGTCCCCTCTTCTTCATGTCTCTTCTACATCAACATGTGTCCCCTCTTCTTCATGTCTCTTCTACATCAACATGTGTCCCCTCTTCTTCATGTCTCTTCTACATCAACATGTGTCCCCTCTTCTTCCATGTCTCTTCTACATCAACATGTGTCCCCTCTTCTTCATGTCTCTTCTACATCAACATGTGTCCCCTCTTCTCCATGTCTCTTCTACATCAACATGTGTCCCCTCTTCTTCATGTCTCTTCTACATCAACATGTGTCCCCTCTTCCTTCATGTCTCTTCTACATCAACATGTGTCCCCTCTTCTTCATGTCTCTTCTACATCAACATGTGTCCCCTCTTCTTCATGTCTCTTCTACATCAACATGTGTCCCCTCTTCTTCATGTCTCTTCTACATCAACATGTGTCCCCTCTTCTTCATGTCTCTTCTACATCAACATGTGTCCCCTCTTCTTCATGTCTCCTCTACATCAACATGTGTCCCCTCTTCTTCATGTCTCTTCTACGTCAACATGTGTCCCCTCTTCTTCATGTCTCTTCTACATCAACATGTGTCCCCTCTTCTTCATGTCTCTTCTACATCAACATGTGTCCCCTCTTCTTCATGTCTCTTCGACATCAACATGTGTCCCCTCTTCTTCATGTCTCTTCTACATCAACATATGTCCCCTCTTCTTCATGTCTCTTCTACATCAACATGTGTCCCCTCTTCTTCATGTCTCTTCTACATCAACATGTGTCCCCTCTTCTTCATGTCTCTTCTACATCAACATGTGTCCCCTCTTCTTCATGTCTCTTCTACATCACCATGTGTCCCCTCTTCTTCATGTCTCTCCTACATCAACATGTGTCCCCTCTTCTTCATGTCTCTTCTACATCAACATGTGTCCCCTCTTCTTCATGTCTCTTCTACATCAACATGTGTCCCCTCTTCTTCATGTCTCTTCTACATCAACATGTGTCCCCTCTTCTTCATGTCTCTTCTACATCAACATGTGTCCCCTCTGTGTAAAGAGACTCTGAAAGTTTCTCTTTTTGTCCTGATCCATTTTTATAAAAACCTGTCTGAAAATGAGCTGATCAGATTTTGGCCACTTTATGATATCATAACGATGTTTTGGCTTGGGTAACCATCAGCCAATCAGCAACCAAGGTAACCCCCCCCCACCCCCACCCACTTTATTTGATCATTTCAGTAAAAACTAACGTTCATATTTCTCTCTTTGATTATAATACTGATGAACGTTCAGAACAAAGCACTTTGGCAACTTACCACATACGTTTTAAAAAGCTTAATAAGCACCGTAACTTTCATGATATCATTTCTCCGTCATAATCGGTTGTTTCTGTGAACGGCCGACTGTTGAGTGACGGCAAATGCTGCGGCTGCAATGCATTGTGGGGCAACATTTTCTCCTCTCCTTTCGGTTAGGGAGGTCCAGTGGTTCCTAAGCTAAAGGAGGTTATAAAGGAAGTTTGAAACCTCCTTTCCTTTCATTTGGAGAATTGGAACGGCACTTATCATGGCTGCCAGTGAGGGACTTCCGGGTCATTTCACTCCGTTAGGAAGGTTCCTAAGCTAAATGGACTATTGGAATGGGCCCCCGCAGTCTCTTCTCCTAAATCCTTTTGAATTCTCCTATCCACTATCCCTTAACCCCATGACATTTCACTCAGAGGTCGAGGAATAGGAGATAGGGTTAGAATTTAGGAGCTGATTTTTGGATTATCGGAATGCAACCAGAGAATCAGCACTTTGGAAACAGGGCTTAAACAGAGGGGGTTATGGGTAATGCTGCAATGATCTGTTTGGTGTTTCAGCCAATCAGAGACAGGTTCTGTGTATATCTGAGACCTATAATAAAGTAATGAAAAACAGGATAATTGGGGACCTTTAGCGCAGTTAAATCTCCACGTACCTGGTAGCCGTTATCAGTGACGTCAGCACAGCCGGTGAACTGACAATCCGGCAGGCTCACACAACGCTTGGTCACAGACACACTGTCTCCATGGTTGTCCATCATGTGCAGTGTGTGACAGTATCTGGCATCTGGAAGACATGCCACACCTTTTAATATCTGGATTATTCTACCAGCAGACATTTTGGGAAGTACATTAACTCAGTCTAGATCAGTGTTTCTCAAACTTTTTCATACCAAGAACACTTAACCACTTAGACACTTAAAAAAACACTCGCGGACCACCTAACTCCACACATATCCAAAAACACGTTTTTCTAGAACAGATTACAAATCGCCTGAAACTGGTACAAAGAAGTGGCAACATGTTTGATGAAGGTGTTGCGCTGGGCTATATGATGCAATTGAAAGTTAAACTCGCTCCATTGCGGAAATATTCGCGCGAGAGTGGAAAACTTTAATTAATTAATTAATTTCAAATGTTACCAATATACTCACGGACCACTAGGGGGCGCTCACGGACCACACTTTGAGAAGCACTGGTCTAGATGCAAACAGGGAGACACTGATGTACCTTTTGGACAGTAAACGTCCGGCGCCCAGCGATTACACTCATAGTTATCTGCCGCGTCTTCACACGTGAAACACTTGAAGCTACCAGGATGAGGAGTGGCTGTGGAGGACAGAGTTTGTGATGTTGAAATGTGCTGCAAAACATACAAGGAAAGAGAACTAAATAATAATAATAATAGATTACATTTTGATAGCGCCTTTCAAGTGACCCAAACAAAGAAAATCAGAAAGGAATGGTTTGTGTGTTACAGTAAACAACTTCCAAAATCTTACAAACACCCCCGATCGTGCTCTTTGGGGTCATTGATGAGGCTGCTTTCATCCGTTGTTTTTTACATTTTAAGTTACAAAACAAATCAAGATCAAAATTGCTTTCTTTCATTGCCCAACCATCAGGAATCTGTGAGTTAGATTAAAATAATCATGAAGCAAGGGGGGGGGAAGCATTGCTCCGCCAAGCAGTCGTTAACACAAACAAACAAACAAGTAGGGCAAATAATAAAGAAAACATTGAATAAATAACGTTGAAAAGAAGGAATGGATTCAAGTCATTCCCCAAAAGTTAGCATCAATCTAGTTCCCTTGACGATAACACAATTGTTGTTGTTTTTTTAAATGGCTTTTGGATTATTTCATAAAATAATATCTCCAAGTATTCCAATGCAAACCAAGAGGGGGGGGAGGGGAGGGGAGGGAGGGGGGGACCTGATGTGTGTAAATTGTTTTAATATCTTGAATACAGATTATTCAAAGTACTGCAAAAATATGGGCATTTGGGCAGTTTATAGAATGACTTCCAGCGCCCCTAATACGTGTCATATATATATTAAAATATGCTCTTACTTGAGGGATGCAGCTGGATGATGTCCGTCATGGTGAAGTCCCGGCATTGGACAGTTTTCAGCCAATCAGCAATGTTGGTCATCAGCAGGACCCAGGCCACGGTTGGCCAGGCCTCCATCTTTGTCCAAATGTTCCTTCATGCACTTGGGTAGACACACCCTGCAGAAGAAAGGGATCCCAAGCCACTGAAATGAACCACAGGGTGTTTCAAATGAATCCCCAGCGTTAATGTCATATTTTCGCTGTTGGATTGAATGGAGAATATAAAAACATACGTGTTCTTTAGAGAAAAGCAAAGTAGTGTGTTGGAAATACATTGTGTACAGGAGTGATCAGCTGTGTGTGCGGCTCATGCTGTGAACACGCTTCATTATTTAAATGTCAAAAGGATCCCTGCCAGGCTGCACACGAAGCACAGGAAGTGATCTATTATAACTATTAACACTGTCACTTCTGACTCAAACATGAGTTATGCTTCAATTACAAAACCTGTATTGCCCTCTGGGAATCTAGCCATTAGTCCTAGCTTTCCAGATGGGGTCTTTCTCCACTATGCATTGGGATATTCATCGCTAAGCGTCTGTATTGTCCTTAACTCCGACTCCCTTTTAAAGTGGAGATTGCAACAATGGCTTCAAACTAGGAAAATCAACAATAAGCCAACATTCCTCTCTATGAGACTGACTTTGTTGAGGTATGTAATATCCTGTAAGCTGCCGTGTTAATCCGTTTAAACATTGCTTAATCAGGTGCAACTACGGTCATGTTTACGTGGCAGGAACTACATTTGTTCCAGACTACAAAGGAGAAGTCAGCGACAAACATATACTGTAGAGATTAACTTGAACACCTCTCTATTTCGCCGAAGGGTTTGAAACTCATGCAGAACATATTACAGCTTATTACGGCATGATGACATTTATCATTTCAACACCAATGTGGGTCTTTTTGGATCATATGTCTGAACCTTAATGTCTGCCTCGTGTTGTTATTGTATTCTCTGTGGTCTTAATTTCAACTTTCCTGTGAAGCACTTTGTGAATTGTATTTCTGTGAAAGGTGCCATACGAAATAAACGTATTATTTATTATATTATTTCAGTAAAAAAGTCCTGTATTACGAACAGACTTCCGTTAGATGTAATGTTTTTAAATACAGACATATAATAATATACAGTTGCAGGTCACTCTCTAAGAAAATGCTGTTTTTGGATTCACTGAGACGTCACTAAATGAATTATTTACCAGATGACCTGGTTAGCCGTGAATTAAGATCATAGTGTAAGATCAGCCGTGAGTTCAGATGCCCCCGACTCCATGCCCCCGACGCTTCTCCCCCAGGCGTTGTGCTGACTGTGTGGTTGTAAATGGTTGTTTTTTTAACATTATGCATGCCCCAATAACACTGATCCATAGCTGTGCATAGGAAACCCCTACAGTATATGCTGTGCATATGTTAAAGGAAATAAATCAGGTCAACTAGATGTAACATGTAGACAATGTGGGTTTTAATATATAGCTGTATTAACACATTTGGAATCTAGCTTGTTGAGTCTACAAACTTCATTACATGATATAGTATGATTTAATTAAAGAGAAGCCTTTGAGTGTATTTGCTTTGCATTAATGAAGCTCCTCAGCTCTACAGTATGGCTCCTAATTTTATTCTGTATGCTGAAAGGAACATTTGGGATTAAACTCTCCAGCTTTGAGCCGTCTGAGAGATGCGAGGCCTTGCATGGAGTGAAATCTGGAGTGCAGGGATTAGATACAATGGCTCCGTGTTAAAACTGGAGAGGGGTTATATCACAGAGGGTTCAATCAGCGCCGACCCACTCCTTCTGGGTCGCAGCGCTGAAGGAATCTGAAGGAGGGCCGGTCTAAATCTTCCTCCCCCCCTGACTACAGAGGATAACGTTGGCAGATTGTGAGTGTAAAAGTTGATGAGTGGGTCTGACAGTATTTAGAAGAGATAGTTTTCTTTAATGTAATTTCAGCTATCTGAACACTAGCGTCCTATTTTGTCCAGAAAACAAGTTTTGCATCAACAGGATTGACTGTTAACTAGTTTTCCTGCAGAGTCCAGTGTTGTAAATCAGACTTCAGAAGGTCAGAGGTTAAGCCTTGTTACTGAAAATATGCTTAAATATATATCTGCAGTCAGTGCTGTCAGAGTTATCATATTTACGGCGCGCATGAATGAGCCAAAACATTGTAAATAATATTGGGAGAGTCATCTTGATCCAAAATCAGACTGCAAACAACGTTTCTTATCGCACTGATTTAACATCTATCCAGTCTATATTTCCTTTTTGTTGTTTTAGTACTTTTATCTTCTTATTGCTATGTTTTTACTAGTGTTTTTTTGATGGGAAGCATTGGTCATTGTGTTTTGATAACTGCTGTTTAAATAAAGATTATTATTAGGCTATTGTATTGCATTTGTGACAGTTTCTTTCACGGGTGATGCTTGTGTTAATTGCTGGTACACATACAAGTCTAATGTTGTAATGTTACACTGTACACGAGGAACACTTAAACGCACCAGGCTGAGAAAAAGAGAAATGGTTCTAATACCCCGAGGCCTCTGCAGTTGTTCATTCTGTCACACTTAAATGCATCACATGGTAAAACAACATCGGCAGCTTAAGCCAACAATGTTCCTCGTTCGACCCCGAACAACAGAACCAAATCGAGTGTTTAAAACATCACTAGAACAGTTGCAAACCGATCTGGGCTGCTGTGAACTTAATTCTTTACTTGAAGGTTAATTACTCCAGGTTTGTCATGCGTGTCTAAAGAATACAAGAGTCGGGCCACCAGGGTCGCCTTTGAAGTCCAGCCGATATCCAGCAGCTCGGATGGACCAGACCCATATGGCAGGGGCTTAACGTCTGACATACCACTGCTCATGTTTTTCACTTCTACACTGAGCCGCAGACACATGACTGCACCGGAGAAATGACAGAAAGTGTTGCTGAACTCTGTTTTACTAGGCAGCTAAAAGGCTCAAGGGTCCACTGTATGGAAAGTACACTATTTACCTTACACATGCACATGTTACAGACTCACAAAGGGAAACAGAGTGTGCATTAAGGGAATTCTACTGTCTTTATTACAACCTCCTGAAAACCAGTTTATTCTTCAAGGAAGTGTTTGGATGTAAAAGCAGAAAACAACTCTTTAAGAAGATTATAGTCCAGAATGTAGGATTCTATGCTTGATTTATATCACTGCTGAAGTACTGCATAAGCTATGTTTTGATAACTGTTGGAGGTGAAGCTAGTATTAGTTTAATAAATGACACTATTTTATGAGGAGCACATGTTTTTATTTACAATCTGAAACTGTAAACTAGTTGTTGTTGTCAAGTAAATAGTACAAACTTTACTAGATTACATTTGTTATCCTGAATAATGTGGACAATAATCACAAACAATGCAGAGTAGTAAATACAACTCTGTGCACGTGTAGACTGCATGTATTTCATTAGTATTATTATAAAAGATTATATGTATATTTCTGATGCAAGATGCAGACTCAAACTCCGTTTTAAACCTCACTTCACATACATTATAACACTAATTCATTAAAACGCGTATTTCTCAGCACTTTAAACCCTAAGTTATTCAAATACAACAGAGGTGTTCACACTGATATCGGTATACTAACATGTCAATTAATAACTAATGTTACTCACAGAAAAATGACTTCAAACGGAATTTAAAAGTGGGTTTCAATGATCTTATCGTTAAAAAAACATAAATTAGCGCACTTACTAACCACTATACGGGACATTTACTGATGCATTAACATTGACTCAGTATGCAAACTGACTTTATATTTTAACTCACCGGCTTTATTTCCTCGATATGCCCGAAGGAGCGGGCAGCTCAGATGAAAATACTACACTGTGCTGCTGCTCAGCGGACAACTGAAGGAGGCGGGGGCTGCGACGTCACGGTTACGTCACTTCTAGTCCCATCAGCAACACTGCAGCTGGATCAGTAATATATTTACATTTTAAACACGTTTTGTGGATCCCACCAGTAATTGTCATATAACCAAAGTATTTTTCCATTGCTCTACTTGAGATGCATGATGAGGCACTTCTTTTCTTGACTTCTGCAAAATATTTGACTTTTTACTTGTTACTCTGATATTTTACACACTGCTTCATGCATTTTTCTGCAATCACCCCCACCATTGAGTGCTATGAAACAACTAGGCTACATATTTAGCATTCACTTAATTGATTCTAGGCAAGGCAAGTTTATTTATAGCACATTTCAGCAGCAAGGCAATTCCTATACACAACACAGTGGGGCGCCAGAGATTTTCTCCAGGGGGTGCTGTGGGGTAGCTTGACGTTTGACGGGTCATGGAGTCCCATCACCATGTTTAGTTGCAGTGCATACCAACGTTGGGCTATAAATTAATACATTATTTCTGAGAGCAGTATTTTAAACTCTACTTGTATCTTATCAGTTAATTAGTTACGAAAATACATTGAACTCTTCTCTGGTTCTGGCAGTAACAGTTCCTTCTGAAATGCTTTGGGACACTTATGTATAACACATCAAAAGCATTGAGACAACACATTGCAAAAGGACATAATAAAAAACAGTCATTAAAAAGCCAGTAAGATCTTCTTTGAGAAATGCAGATATGTAAAATGCTTAAAGGCGATGCTAAGGATCAAAAGAGATCAAACTGTAACTCTTCTCTGTATAATGAGCATGCCTTATTCCTGCAGGCAAATTACAAGACCCTCCAAACCGCTTGCTTTTTCACATTCCCTGAGCAAAATGCATGGTATGAGGAGGATAGCAACCCTTCACATTAGGATACATATACATTCAATAAGTGTAAAGTCAAACAGAGCCTGTGGCTCTACTAAATATAAAATAAATACAGATTACAAGTAGTCGAAAAATAATACATATCAATAACAAAATGGCTTAATTTTAATAAGAAATTAAATCGTTAGCATTACAAATATGTTAATTTAAATACAAATGACCCATTAATAGGGATAGAAATCGAGTGGGTAATGATCGCAGGCGGTCCTGGCAAGCTGGGTGTAATCACCCTAATCAGATTCAGCCAGGGGCGGACT